CACAATATTTCTTAAAGAGGAATTTTTGAAGTTCTCCTCATGATTGCTTCAAAAGGAAGTAATTTTTGAATCCATCTTATTTTGGAACAATCTATCAAATTGTTTGAAATCCGGATAGGTCTCATCTTTACTAGACAAAAACATAACCCAAAAAAATCTTGAGTAATCATATACAATCACAAATCGATAATGGTTTCCACTTAGGTTTTTGGTCTTTGAGGGACCGAAGAGGTCCATATGAAAAAGCTCAAGATGTCTCAAGGTAGAAACAATATTTTTCAATTTAAAAGAGATTCTCGTTTGCTTCTCCATTTGACATGCTTCACATAGATGGTCTTTTGTGAAATTCGTTTTTGGTAGACCAATTACTAAATCTTTTGAGGTTAATTTTTTGGTAAGTTGAAGAGTATATGAGCTAGGCGTCTATGCCATAACAAAGAGTTTTCACTCATGGTAGCTAGACACTTAATTCCTACCAATTATACCTCATCTAAGTTAAGTATATAAGTATTATTAACCCTCAAGCCTTTAAACATACACTCCTTCTTTTCATCATGTACAAATAAGCAACAAGTATTTGTAAAAGTAACTTTAAAGCCCTTGTCACAAAGTTGACTAATGATAAGAAGGTTATGTTTAAGACCATCGACTAACATAACATCGGAGATAGCTACACTACCTTTTCCAAGTATTACCCCTTGTTATCATCTCCATAAGTGATGAACCCTTTTTCTTTGTCAAAAAGTCAGTGAAGAGAGATATGTCACCCGTCATATGTCTTGAGCATCCACTATCAAGATACCACATCTTTTCCGTAGAGTCAAGACATTCAACATGTGGAATCAAACAAAGGAAATAGGTACCCAATTTTCATTGGGTCCTTGAGAGTGAGTGAAATAAAAGTTGCATTTGGGAAACCATCGAACAATTCCTTTAGGGACAAAAAGTTTCCTAAATTTGTACTTTTCAATAGTGTGACCCTTTTTGCAACAATAATGACAAGATAAGTTGCGATGAAATATGTCCTTGGTATTTGAGTCCTTATGCACATATTCATGGTTTTTATTAAAATGATTCAAAGACTTTTCACACTTTGAAGGATCAATAGAAAATACAATCTTAGGTTGTAAGGCTTTGTCTATTTTGACTTGAAGAGTATATACCTCCTCTTGCTAATTGTGACAATGTTCACAACCAAACCTTGAAGGTTTTACATACTCATTATTGTCACTTTGAATATCTATCATAGATCTCTTAATAGCTTTAAACTTTCTTTCAGATTCTAAAACTTTAGCTTCTAAATTTAAAATTACTTTTTCATGTGAAAATTAACTTGTTAAAAGCTCTTAAGGCCTTTGTATGAAGATCTTCTAAGGCGTTTTATGATTCAGAATAAGATAAATCATTAATATATTCAAGCTTAGAAAGACTTATATTTTTCTTCTTCTTTCTATTAGCCATGAGGAAAATCTGAGCCAACTCAACACTTTAAGTTGTGCTTTCATCACTTGAGGAATCACTTACACTCTCCCAAACGGCATAAGCTCCTATAGAGTTGCTAGATTTCTTATGATATATCTTCTCTTTGTCTTTCTTCCTCATAGGACACTCCAGTCTATAGTGGTCAACTTCACTACAATGATAACAAGATCTTCTAAGTTTACCTTTCATATCCTCATCATTCCTTGAAGAGTTTGTTAACCTTATAAAATTTACTAAATTCTTGTTGGAGTCTCTAACTTCATTCTTCCTTATATACATATGATCTCTTTTTACAAACAACCCCATATCCTCATCATATGAATTCTTGTCATCTTCACTTTCACAATCACTTTGATCATTATGGGAGGACCTTGAGCTTGAAGCCTTTAGAGCAATATGCTTCTTCTATACTTCCTTGTATTTACCTTTCTCTTTCTTCACCTTCTTTTCGTACTCTTTTTCATGTTTTTCCAAGCAATAGAATTCTTGCTCATGTTCTTTCATTTTCCAAACAAAGCCGTGAAATCAAGTACTTTAAGATCATTTGCCTTTTTTTATAGCGATGACCTTGGGTTTCCATTCTCTATTTAAAGATCTCAACACTTTGTTAGCAACAATCTCATTGGAAATAGGCTTACCTTGTGCACTTACAATACTACGAAAAACATATACAACAACGGTTGAAAAATGGATACCATCACGCGTGACTCATTGTTGTAAAGTAACGTATGGTTGTATATGCGTTACTTATAATCACCATCGTATGACTATTGTAGAAAACCTAAAAGTGTGCAAAATATTACCACAATTTTTTTAACTAACCATTTTAATATATTAAAGGTCTTAGGTTCGATTCTCAGCAGCGCCTTTCTGGCATATATATTATTTTGGACATCGTTCACTCTACAACCACAATCATATTTAACAATTGTCGTTAAATTATCTGCTTTTAAAAAATATATATTTCTACTTTTTGAAAATTTTCTATTTTTTAATCTGTATTTTTGTGAACCGTATCAGAACAGAAACCACAATTGTATCATAACAATAATTGTATTGTATTACATTAAATCCATATATTGGATTAAAAAATAAACATTGTATACAAATTACATCAAAAGAAAAATGGCACAAAATAACCTACAATAACTAATGTCATATGCAATCCAAGTTATCACATTAAATTTTGGCATGTATGACAAACATTTAATTATCTCAGATGCACTATGATCATTTGGTATCCTTTTATTAAACCAATATAGGAATTTCTTATTATGCTCAATCAACAACAACTTGTCACTCATTCATGGATATCTTTTCTTCAAAAGTCTTTTGTGAGTAGCCACGTAAGGTTGAACTTCTTCAAGATTATTCAATATATAGAAGTGTGCTTGAATAACTATGAGCCATTGAATTAGCATTTAAACCTTGAATATCTCTACCTACAGTGTCAGCATGACGAGACATTGGGATTCCTATAGACTATACTTCTGACAAATAGCTTATACAAAACTCAACAGCTTTTTCTGCGATGTACCTTTTAACAATCGAAGCTTCTGATCGGTGATGATTCTTCATATACCCTTTAATTATATTCATATATCGCTCTATTGGATACATCCATCTTAAATAAACTGGACCACAAAATATGATTTCTCCGACTAGATGAACAAGTAAGTGAACCATAATGTTAAGAAATGATGGAGAAAAATACATCTCCAACTGGCACACGATTATGGCAGCTTTGTTTTCTAATTCATCTTTTTTTTTTTTGAAATCAAGAACTTTATTACATATGGCATTGAAGAACAGACACAATCTGTTATAATTACTCACACATTTTTTGGTAGGATGCCAAGGATAGTCACTGGTAGAAGTTGTTGCATCAAGACATGACAATCATGAGATTTCAAACCAATTAACTTGAGATCTTTCATTGATATAAGTTTCTTGATGTTTGATGAGTAACCTTGGGGAACTTTGATATCATGCAAACACTCGTAAAAAAATTTCTTTTTCTTTTTACACAGAGTGTAACAAGCTGGAGGCAGATAAGTTCTTTTCCCTTTTTCTATTGGAGCCAATTTTTTTCCGTATACCCATCGCCTCCATATCGAGACAAGATTACTTAATATATTTAGTTTTGCTTGGAATGTTTAGAAGTGTTCCAATCAAACTATCACACACATTTTCTTCATATGCATCACATCAAGATAATGTTTTACATCGAGACTTGACCAATATGGAAGATCAAAGAACACTAATTAGTGCATTTTAATGCACATTCTCTTATGTTTGTACTTGTGCATTTCCTTAGTTTGTTTTGTTTATTTTACTGTTTTATTATAATTTTATAATTAAGTCTTTATTTTCCATTAATCTATTTTCGCAGCTTATTTCCAACTTTAGCGGTTATTTGATATCTGTCCAATATTTGGATCATAAATGGAGCTACGAGAATTGGATTGACGCGTTCTAATAAGCGTTGGAAAGACAAGATAGAGTGCTACAACTTTCATGTTTGAAGAAGAAGCTGATTCAAAGTGTAGCAGACTCGAATAATTCGTTGAAGTTAGGACCCAAATTCTGCCTTTAGGAATACTTAATTTTGGGCCAGGTTTTTTATATTTTTTGACCCAGTTAGATTAAAACCGAATTTTGTTATGCTTCTCTATACCTAGTAGCAGCCGTTCTACTGTTCATGACCTTTTTTTCTTCACGATTTTACTTTTTACTTCTTACGGTTTTAATGGAGAACTAATTCCCAAGGAAAATCCCGCTGCTTACGGGTTCCATTGCTTTGAGGTTATTCTAATACCAATTTAATTCGATTTTTGTTCAATTCTTTTCTATGAAGTCATTTTCTTAATTTGGTTGCAATCGTTTGCTTAATTTGATTGTGTTCATAGAATATAGTTGATAAAATTTGATTGTATGCATGTTCCTAAATTTAATTGCGTGTTATCCTTTTCTTTCTTTTAGTATTTCCTTCCTCGCGTATGTATAAGACCGAATCCATTGTATTTGGACTTTTCATCAAACAAAAAAGGATTCGTAATCCTGAACTTTTCGAGGAATCCTTCATCAGTGGTTGTGAATGACGGATTTTTCTCAATCTTTATGAGTTGCTCCTACAGAACCTAGGTCGAAAAAAAAGATTGAGAAATAGAACCATCTGATTTAATTCGTTCTCAATAGCCACGAGATGATCATCTTAGGGTGATCCTTTTGTTGACGGATGTTCCTATTATACTCGTAGTCTCTGAAGGATGAGAACCAACTATGTAGCATCTACATCGACAATTCAAGTATTGTATACGTCATTTAGTATGATTCTTTGTAGGAACTACCCCTAATAACCAACTTGCAAAAAGAATCTTTTTCTCATAAAGGGATTCGTTGTTCCTGACTCTGCTTCACCTTAATTGTTATTTTAACAAGTAAAGTTATGTCTTGGTCCGAGTGGGAATAACATATCTCTTCTGCATGTCCATAGAGTTTTGAAAAATCCAAACATCTCAGAAAGAAATAGAGAAGTCGTTCGGAATTTCTCGAACGAACCACACTCCTTCATATACGTCAGAAGTCCATTGATGAGAAGGGGCTGGGGAAAGCTTGAACCCAATTCCTACAGTGATGAATATAAGCGCAATTGAAATTCTCGGAGAGTTATACATTTGTGTATTGATAAGACCATTTACTATTTCTTGAAGCTCCATTTCTCCCCCGGATGAACCATATAGCCAAGAAAAACCATGAACCAGAATAGAAGAGCTTGCCCCACCCATGAGTAAATATTTCATAGTAGCCTCATTAGACCTTACATCTTTCTTGGTATATCCAGATAGTAGATAGGAGCATAAACTGAAACACTCTAGAGCTACAAAGATAGTTATTAAATCGTTAGCGCTGCATAAAAACATTCCTCCTAGAGTAGCGGTTAATATAAATAACAAAAACTCTGTTATAGCCATTTCTGTACATTCAATGTACTTTACGGATAGAGGAATACATAGAGTTGAAGATAGTAAAATAAGAAATTGAAAGATTTCGTTAAAATTGTTTGTTTGGAAATTTCCCGAAAAACGAATCATGGGTTCTTCTCTCCATCGGAACAACAGCGCCATTATGCTCATTACTAAACTTGTTGAAGAGAAAAAATAGAACCAAGATATCTCTTTTTGATCCGAAGTGGAATCGATCATCAGAAGAAGAATTAGGCCCAAAATTATAATCAATTCCGGAAAAAGAAAACTTCCATCGAAAATAAGCAAATGAAAGGCTTTCATAAAAATTCTCGTAGACTCGAGAATGAGATTTTCATTCTGTACATGTCAAATCATGAATTAGTACATGGAATCTCCAAAAAAATACCCTTTGATGTATGGATCCTTAGGTCCATGTGTGTATATGGACCATAGATCTTGTTCATGGATTAACGAAAAGGTGCACGAGTTCTATTTGCTTCCGCCATTTTCTGAATCTCTTCCTTTTTGCGTATGGCATCACCACGCCCCTTGACAGCATCCACTAATTCGGAACTGAATTTGAAAGCCATATTTCGACCCGGACGTTTTCGGGATGCCGCTACTAACCAACGAATGGCAAGTGCTCTTCCTTGTGGCTTTTTTATTTCAATGGGAACTTGATGAGTCGATCCGCTCACGCGTCTCGCTTTTACTACTATCTTGGGAGTTACCTGAAGTATTGCTTCACGTAAAACGGATAGTGGATTTTTTTCTGTCTTTTGTTGAATCCTTTTCATAGCTCGATAGAAAATTCGATAAGCCAATAATTTTTTTCCGTGTTTCATAATATGGTTAATCAACCTGTTAACTACTCGATTACGATAAATTGGATCAGATTTTTTGATTTTCTTTTCTGCAGTACCTCGTCGTGACATGAGCTTAATAATCCATTTTTTTATAACTTAACTTATGGGGCTAAAATAATAATTTATTTTGGCTTTTTGGCTCCATATTTTGAACGCCCTTGTTGACGATCCCTTACTCCGCCAGCATCTAGGGGTCCTCGAACAATGTGATATCTCACACCAGGTAAATCCTTAACCCTTCCCCCTCTTACTAAGACTACAAAATGTTCTTGTAAATTATGGGCAATACCAGGTATATAAGCAGTAATTACAAATCCTGAGGTTAAGCGTACTCTGGCAACTTTACGTAACGCAGAGTTTGGTTTTTTCGGGTTAATAGTGTCAAAGTTGACAGATAAGTCATCCTTACTGCCACTCTACAGAACCGTACATGAGATTTTCACCGCATACGACTCCTCGTTCAATTCTTTCGACATAATTAGATCCTTTATCCTCGTTCGATAATCTCCACTTCTTCCCCCAAACCCAACAAAATAACGAGAACGAATGAAGTCAGCCACGTTTTCATGTTTGAATTGAACACTTTCGTTTTTTTATTCTCAAAGGAGAAAATTATTCTTTTTACTTTTACCAAACATATGTGGATCCAATTATGATCTTCTAATCAACTGTTTCAATCAATAGAAAACCTTTTTTTTTGTATGAATCCATATTATTACATTCCAATTCCTTCCCAATATTTCACAAAGAAAATATCGAATTGGATCTTAAATTGACGGGTTAGTGTGAGCTTATCCATGCGGTTATGCTCTCTTTGAATAGGAATCTATTTTGTGAAAAATCCCGGCTTTCGTGCTTTGGTGGGTCTTTGAGATCCTTTCGATGACCTATGTTGAAAAGATATCTATTATGATTAGAATATAGAATATATTCTAGAATAATATTTAATATATTCTAAATAGATGTTTACTCTTCCATAATAGTATTAATTAGTATAAGGGTATCCAAAAAATGAGAAAAAATATATTTCTCAATTTACCCTTGGACCTATATTTTTTTACCATATATTTAAAAATATTCTAAACCGTCATATTCTAAACCGTTTGCTTAGTTCGGTAAACAGAAACATAATTCATTTGATTTTGATAAGCGCGTGTCTAATTGATATCATAATCGAATAGGATCGAATCCGCTTAGGGATTGCTGTTATAAAAGCCGATGATAAGTCGAAATTCGAATCAGTAGGAATTGAAGACACTTTAATTCATTTGACTTTGAAATGAGTTAATTTTATTGTGTTTTGAAATTGATATTTAGTATAGTATAGAGACCCATTTAATATTTAAAGTATCCATTGGAATTGGAGAAATTGAAATAGTTATATTTGTTCTTCACTGTAGCGTCACTTGTAGAGTAGTAGTGGAAGATTAATGTGACTTTTGATGTTCTTGTAGCTATAAGATTCAATTGGCCGTGTATATAATCCTTCCACTTTTCACTGTAACGACATAAGAATAACAAGACAAATGTAATAACTCTTTTTATTGTAGCGGAATTTGAAGGTATTAGAAAATGAAATGTTTATTTTTTTCTAAGTTATCTTGTTAATGAATTGGTAATGGAAGTGGTACATTAATAATAGACACTTTAATAATATGATGGATACTCAAATGCTGCGCCGGAAATCATCATGTAGTAGAAAGTAGATTCATTAATTTAGGCAATGAATGGAAGTGCCCTTTCCCTTTGAAGTCCTGTAGCAAATTGAATTGAAAAATTAAATGAGAATAAGTTGTTTTACAAAAGCCATGCGCAGGGAACATTTCCTCTTTTACTATAGCGATAGGATGTATTAATTAATTAGGCAATGTGATAATTATTTCTCATGTTCCTTGTAGTGCAAGTAATATATATATATATATATATATATATATATATATATATATATATATATATATATATATATATATATATATATATATATATATATATATATATATATATATATATATATATATATATATATATATATATATATATATATATATATATATATATATATATTAAATAGGAAATGTAGTGTGGTAGCAAAATGAAAGTGCCATTTTCTTTTTCATTTAACATTGTTGCGCCTAATTTGATAAGGAATATAGTATTCCCTTTCACTTTAATAGTGTAACCTTCCTTTCTATATCCTGTAGCATTAATTAGAGAAACAAGTAGGAAATAAATGTAAGCTTCATTTGGCAATGTATATTCCTTTCCACTTTTCCTGTAGCTATTAAACAATCTTGCAATGAGTTTCCTTCTCCTTCATCTTTAATGTTTTACTAAATACCTAATAATTAATTAAAATATTGAAGATTTATTTATTTGTGGAATATTCTTGCATATTTATTTAAATATTTATTATTTATTAAATATTTATTATTTAATTAAATATTGATTATTTATTTAGGTATTGATTATTACTTAGTAAATGTGGATTTAATTATTGATGATAAGTCAATTACTCTATGTATAATCGGTATCGTGTGATTTGTGAATTGAGATGGAATTGTATTGATATTTGTGAATTACTTGCTAATTGTGGTGATGATGTTTGAAGTAAGAATGCTATAATTCATGAGTACGCGTGTATGTGAAATTGTGTGGTAATTCAAATGTGATGAATTATTGAAGATATTCATGAATATTAAGATTTGTGTATGATCTTAATTGCATATGATTGTTGAATTTGCACATGCATCATTTGTGTCAAGAGGAAATATTTGTTAGTTTCGTGGGAGCTAGTGACTTGTCTCAAACCTATAGCAGAGTTTGAAAGCTTAGGAAATGGGCTTTTGTGTGTTATTGGTTTAGGAAACAGACCCGATTTAATGTAAAAAGCGAAAAATAATAACAAGTGTTGGTACCACATTACATGAGTTGCATTGAGTCTTGGATCAAATTTTGTATTGAGTCTCATTGTGTATATGTTTGTGCTATGAGACTATGTGTATCTATGTAAATTGTTGAAATTGGTGAAATTGTGTATTGTGTGTATATACTTGTGAATGGTATGGTTACTTGAGTGATACTTTGTTGATGAAACTTTGAAGTGTGAGAATAATTGTAATTATGTTTGTATGTCTTAAATTAATATTATCTTATAATTTCAATAATTATGTGAATTCTCACCCTTCTGTTGGAATGATATTTTATACGACATCGCTCAGGTACTGAGGAGTAGAGTTGCTTCTAGCGCGAGGCAGCCGTTGGAGTAGCTTGATTTGTGTCTTTATTCATTTTGGGTCGAGTCATGCTCTGATTATGTAACACTGAGGAATGTTTTGATTTCATATTTTGAGAGATATTTTATGTACTCTACTTCATTCTGTTATTGTTATTTTGAATTATATGAAGTATTGACTTTTAAGCCTAAGTATTGATTATGAATGAGATGAACATGAAACTTTCATTATGTCTATTATGATTAAAGTAAATCCGCTACTACATGCTAATGTGAAAGTGTATGAAAATCATGAAGTTATTTAAGTATTATTGAGCATGACAGATGTTTGTGTGATATTTTAAAATTATATGTGACACCCTTTTGTGAGATGCATGATAATTACTTTGATTATTTATATATATTTCGCGGGGTTTAGAAGGGTGTTACAGTCAACACCATCTAGAAATCACACACTAAGTAATCAAGCTGATGCAAATAAATGAATGATCTTGTGCTGAATAAAAAATCTAAATAGGAATCCAGCTTTTAAGTTAGGTGACCCTCATCTGGTCACTTAGGCTAACGACTGTGAAACCTTCAAAAAAAGAAAAAAAAAACATTGTTGTTGCTAAAGTAGTTAATTTTGAATTGTTGACAAGATATGGATCATTGTAACTAATAAGCTTATTTACCATGTGTGTGAATAGACAACGAGTTTAATGTGATTGCACCAGAATGAAAGAGAGCAAAAAGGAGGATGCACAAGTTAGGCTTAAGCATAATAACATGATTGATATTGGTTTGTATAGGAAGGAGGTTTATGACCGCACAATTGCGGATTTATGCTCTTACGATATCCTTAGTATGAAAAATTAGTATCTATCGATGCAATCATGCCCAAAGAAGAGTTTGTAGCCTAAAATGAG